TAATGAACAACTTTAAAAATCAACTTACCTGGGACATTACAAGCTTCAATGTCTTCGATTGTGTGTTTGTATTTGTATTCGTCTTTGATTATGATCATGTCAACCTTCGTCTTCGTCTTTGAAATGTTCCAAGCTTCGTCTTCTTTGCAAATGACTCTTCTTTGCATGTGTGTTAATTATACCACGTTGGGAGAATTTGAAATAATAGGTGAATCTTCCACGCCACTTGGAATTTGGGGGGGAGGGGGGGGGGGGGGGGGTTCTATAAGGGAATATAAATAAGATAAGGGAGGATTAAAAAACACTTTTACAGGGGCTAAAACCTAAACTCGCTAATATTACAAGGGGTTGTATATTTAACCCTAAAACAAATATCATTCAATTATCATGCGTAGCAAGTCATGTGTGGCGCTCTCTCACTCTCGAATATCGATTGTCGTTGTTATTATGCCATTTAGGTCCATCAAAACCCAATTTTTATTGGCATTTCAAAACCCAATATCGCTTGGTAATTCAAACTTGCGTTCTCATATGGAAAATCTCATCTTCAAAGTCCAGTTCCCGTCTGGAAAATTATTTCGAGTCCATTTCTCGCCTGACAATCAAATCATTTCAAGTTTAGTTCTCGCCTGGCAATCAAATCATCCATTAACCCATTATAACATTACATGCATCAACCACACGTCACATTCCATATATGATTTCATGCATGCACAAAAGCATCGACCCAAAACATATCATGCATTAGCACATGCATCATCGTAAAACATATCACACATAAAACACATCATGCATACATAACATAAGGAAGGATTTTGTGACCACTCGTAGAAGTCTAATCCCCCTCTAATTCAATCATAATTTCCCAAGCATGAATGCTTATTGGTTTCCCTACTAAGTAACTTCTTTGCATAGTCCTTCTGAAAGTTTTCCTCAACAAACTTGCTCCCTAGTAAGTCCTTTATGAAATCTTCCCCAATACATGGTCGTATTAATGATCCATACTAGGGGTGGCAAAACATATTGCCCTCTCCGCCCCGCCCCGCCTTAAGCCTGCCAAAAAAAGAACGGGGCGGGAAAACCCTCCAAATGGAAATGGGCGTAAAAATCTAGATCACCCCGCCACAATGGCGAGTTGACGGGTGGCGGGCTTGCTCGCTTACTTTTTTCTTTATTTATTTTTTCATTTTTAATAGATTATTAGGTTTTTTTTACATTTCAATTAGATTTTTCACTTATTTTAGAACATTTTAAACAAATTTTACTTAAAAAATATTGCATATATTCGCAAATAAATGTATAAAATAAAACCATCAAGAATAAAATTATTATAATTAACTAAAAAATGGCTAACTTAAGATGGGACAAGCTAAATGAATAGACGCGGCGAGCTTTGGCGGGCGACGGGTTTTAGCGGGGCAGGCTTTGGCGGGCGACGGTCTTCAGCGGGGCGAGCTTTAGTGGGCGGCGGGCCCAAAATACCAACTCAACCCGCCGTTATTTGGCGGGTGGGCGGGCCAGCCTGGCGGACCATGACCCATTTCTCACCCCTGATCCACACTAACTTGTGAGTGGTTGTTGACCTCTCATATCTCCAACGAATCTCCTTACCTTGGTCTAAGCATCGACCTTTGGGTTGACGATGATCATGGTATCATTAAGTCTAAGCATCGACTTTCGAGTTGGCAATTACTTGTCTTGATCTAAGCATTAACACTCGTATTGATGATGAACAATGTGCTTTTATTTAAGCATTAACCTCTGGGTTGAAGACGATCGGGGTGTCCTTAAGTCTAAACACTGACTTTTGAGTTGGAGACGACTTATTCTAATCTAAGCATCGACCCTCTTGTTGAGGATGATTAGTGTGTCTTTAAGTCTAAGCATTAAATTTTTGAGTTGGCGATTACTTATATTGATTTAAGAATCGACCTTGGGGTTGATGACGATCAATTTGTTTTGATCTAAGCACCAACCTTCGGGAAGGCGACGGGTAGGCGGGCCAGCCCGGCGGACCATGATCCGTTTTTCCACCCCTGATCCATACTAACTTGTGAATGGGTGTTGACCTCTCATATCTCCAACGAATCTCCTTACCTTGACCTAAGCACCGACCTTCAGATTGACAATGATCAGTGTGTCTTTAAGTCTAAGCATCACCTTTCGAGTTGGCGATTACTTGTCTTGATCTAAGCATCAACCCTCATATTGACGATGATTAATGTGCTTTGATTTAAGCATCAACCTCTGGGTTGAAGATGATCAGGTTGTCCTTAAGTCTAAACACCTACTTTTGAGTTGGAGATGACTTGTTCTGATCTAAGCATCGACCCTCTAGTTGAAGACAATCATTGTGTCTTTAAGTCTAAGCATCAAATTTCGAGTTGGCGATTACTTGTCTTGATTTAAGCATTGACCTTCGGCTTGATGACAATCAGTGATTTTTAATCTAAGCACCAACCTTCGGGAATGCGATGGGTGGGCGGGCCAGCCCGGTGGGCCATGACCCATTTTTCCACCTCTGATCCATACTAACTTGTGAGTGGCTGTTGACCTCTCATATCGCCAACAAATCTCTTTACCTTGATCTAAGCACGATCTTCGGGTTGACAATGATCAGTGTGTCTTTAAGTCTAAGCATCGACTTTTGAGTTGGCGATTACTTGTCTTGATCTAAGCATGAACTCTCATATTGACGATGATCAATGTGCTTTAATTTAAGCATCAACCTCTAGGTTGAAGATGATCAGGGTGTCCTTAAGTTTAAACACCGACTTTTAAGTTGGCGACGACTTATTCTGATATAAGCATCGACCCCCTGGTTGAGGACGATCAACGTATCTTTAAGTCTAAGCATCAAATTTCGAGTTGGCGATTACTTATCTTGATTTAAGCATCGACTTTCGGGTTGATGGCGATCAGTGTGTTTTGATCTTAGCATCAACCTTCGGGAAGGCGACGGGTGGGCGGGTCAGCCCGGCAGGCCATGACCCATTTTGCCACCCCTGATCCATACTAACCTGTGAGTGGGTGTTGACCTCTCATATCTTCAACGAATCTCCTTACCTTGATCTAAGCATCGACCTTCAGGTTGACGATGATCAGTGTGTTTTTTAGTCTAAGCATCGACTTTCGAGTTGGCGATTACTTGTCTTGATATAAGCATCAACCCTCGTATTGACGATGATCAATGTGCTTTGATTTAAGCATCAACCTCCGGGTTGAAGACGATCAGGGTGTCCTTAAGTCCAAACACCGACTTTTATGTTGGCGACGACTTATTCTGATCTAAGCATCGACCCTCTGGTTGAGGAAGATTAGTGTGTCTTTAAGTCTAAGCATCAAATTTCGAGTTGGCGATTACTTATCTTGATTTAAGCATCGACCTTCGGGTTGATGACGATTAATGTGTTTTGATCTAAGCACCAACCTTCGAGAAGGCGACAATCTCTTTGTTTTTTATCAAAGCACTGACCCTTGGGAAGGCGACAATATCTTTGTTATTTTTAATCAAATTAATTAAAAAATTCAAAAACTATCATAAATCTATTGTTTTGACCATGCACATATAAGTCTTGAACACCAAAAGCGGAGCATAGACTCTGCGAGGCAGAAGATAGGTTCCCCGTCCCCAAACTCATGGGGCGAATGGTAGGTAACCCATCCTTGTAATATCTTCGGAAGAACTTCCTTATCTCAGTGGAGAGAAGTTCTTCATCTTTGAAGCCTTAAACAAAACAATCTCTACGAAGATCCGCGCTAGCGGATGCAAATTGACATTCATTCCACTTATCTACATAAATACTTTCTCTGATCTCTATTATAAATATAAATTCAACATATCAATTATTTAATACAAAATTAATTTTCACAAAAAAAATATACTCTCCGTTTCAAAATGATTGTCGTTTAAGGTTTTTGTAAATAAATTAAAAAATATAATAATATTGTCATAAAATATTATATTTTTGCTAAATTAATCTTATAAATGTGTTGAAAGTAGTGTACAAAGTAATAATTAATGAACACAATTGAAAAAATACTTCCTCCATTTTCTATTATACATCGTTTTGGATTTTTCACATATTAAGAAAAATAATGATTGTTGTATGAAAATGAGAAATTATGAAAGTTTTTACAAAATTATCCTTCATTAATGACATGTGAAAGATAAATTTACATAATTGAAACGAAGGAGAATAATAAATATTTAAGGATATAATAAAAAAAATATTATTAATTATTCATTTAAATTGTAAAACGATTTATATTATGTACAATTCTTTTTCTTCAAAATGACTTATAATAAAAAAAACAGAGAGAATAACAATACTTTCCAAATTGAAAAGTTGGCATTATTTTTGAAATAATTTTTGTTGTTTGTTAAAACAATAGTCATGTTAGATTGGAGAGAGTAGTAAAAGAAGCACCGAGTAATATGTAATTGCATGAAGTAACAACTATTTTCCTGTAAAATTAAATTTCATCCTATAAAACAATTGTTTTAAGTAAATCTTACAAAAAGTTAAAAGTCATTTAAGCTGGACTTTTTGGTTAAAAACATAACATAATTAAGTGCAAAAGAGGTAATGAAACATAGTCATTTGTGTACTATTTAGATGCCTAAAGAAGAGGTGCACAGAGCAAACAGCATAAACTTTTAAGTATACTTTAAACTTCCATTAGAATTAGGATAACATAAAATACAATTCAACATGCCACTTTTTTTGGTCAAATCTATATAAAGCAGCATATAGAGTAAAGTTAAAAAGCAAAAAACTAGAATTCCATCATCACATTCAGAAGTGTGCAAGCCAAAAGAACTGATTAGAGAAGAATCCTAAACAAATATTACAAGCCTCTTCATTCTTTAAAAACCTATTCCAATAACCAAAAATCATCATAATAATAAACCAAATACATTCATTCATTCATGCAAACACTTTAATGTTCAAAATATACCATCAAAAGTAAACTATTTGTGGTTGCTGTTGCTATTGCTATTTGCCACCACTCTTTTTCTTCAACAGGCTTCCAAACTTACCAAGCAAAGCTTTCTTCTTCTTCTTCACCACTTGTTGCTTTGTAGGCGAACTTGCACCGTCCTCAATGTTCTCTGTCACAGATGTACCATTTGTCTCACTATCGTCTATCTTTGACTCAAGTTCCTCTTCAAATGATTCTTCTCGTTCTATTACTTTCTCCGGCGAGAACTCCTTTTTCTCTATCTTGCAGCTCTCCCACATTTTCAATTCAACAGAATCATCTTCTTTCTTTCCCTCATCTTCTTTCTTTGGTTTTCCATTCACATTATCAGATTTGAAAGATTCTGTTTTTTCAAACTTGTCTTTCAGGACAATGTTTTCTTCATTGGCCGAAACCGAAACCGGAACCAGAAGCTCTTCCTTAGATATGCCGCTTTCTCCTCCGTGTCCATTCTCTTCAGAGAATTCTACTACTTTAGGAAGCAAATCGTAGTCCTTCTCGCTATCGGTGAGATCACCGTTTTCCTCGCTTTGGTTTCGTGTTGTAGCTTCTTCGAGCGACTTAGATAGCTCCTCCACCTTCTTAATGGACGTGTATTCCCTAGACCGAAGCTCCTCATTTTCTTGAAAAATATTCTGAAACTCATTTTCTTTATCCAATAAACTCTCTTTCAACTTCATGTTTTCAGCATGTGCTTCTTTAAGTGCTTCCTGCAGATGGATCACCTCAGCCTCAACTTCTTTCATGTTTTCCTTCAGTTGAGCTTCTTCCTCTCTTTTGACATTCGCTTCTTCCTCGGTTTCTTTCAGTGAAGAAATCAACCTGTTTATTTCGTTTCCAAGGGATGAGTTTTCTTCTTCGGTTTTCTTTAAGCAGCTCACAAGATGATGTTCTTTCTGCTCCCACTCCTCCTTAGAGTTTGCAATATCAATGTTGGAATTTTCAATACTAGATGTTAGAACATCAATCTCGTGATGTGCATTGTTAAGCATGGACTCAAATTTTTCTTCACTAGCTTCTAAGACCGATTTTAAATCTTGAATCTGAGTCTCATAGCTTTCATGTTCGGCTTGGTAAAATAATAGCTTCTCTTTTGATTCTCTGGCTTCTGCAGATACTTCATGTAACGCGGAAGCTAAGCTGTCCATGGCCTTTTTGGTCTTTTCTTCTTCGTCACGAGAAATCTCCAATTCGTTGATAAGTTTGTTTTTCTCTTCTAATAGGGTCTGCACACTTGAAGCTGAAATCTTTTCATTGTTCAATGCCTGAGCTTTCTCTTTATTAACTGCCTCGATTTCAGATTCTAGAGATTCAATCTTCTTTGACAGTTCAAGACTTTCTTCCTTTGCCACGAGAAGACAGTGCTCCGAATCCTCGAGATCTCCTCTTTGCCTCCCAATTGTCATTTCCAACATTGCCACTTTCTCTTTAAGACTAGAAATTTCAGATTCTGCATCATACAACAGTTCATTTTTACTTTCTAGCTGTTTTGTTGCAGATTCCAAGGACAACGATGCTGATCTCTCCAGCTTATTTGCTTCTTCGACCTTCAATTCTAGTTCCTCAACCTTTTTTTTCCACTCGTCTAGCACACTATGCGCATAAGATTCAGTCATCTTAGCAGCTTCAAACTCGACATTAAGCTGTTCAATCAAAGCCTCTTTCTCTGCCAACTTTTCACCATAACCCTTCGCCTTTTCAAGCTCTTGCTTAAGGGCTTCAATCTCCGTTTGTAGCTCCAACACAACCTTGCTTTCAGTTGCCTCGGTTTCCAGCTTCGAATCTAGTAAGCCCTTCAACCGTATCAGTTCAGCCGAAAGAATCTCCGCTTTCTCAACATGAAGCTCAGCAATTTTAGTTGCATCATCTGCATGACTAAGTGCCTGGTTCTTTGCATCGCAAGTCATGACGAGCTCTTGTTTAACTCGCTGAAGCTCCTGAGTGGTGGTGAGAAGAGCAGACACATCCAAAGCATGCTGGTTCCTTACGCTTTCAAGCTCTTTCTGCCATTCCTCTTCCTTCTTCTGAGCAGCTTCAATTCCAGCCTGTTCCAGCTCAACAGCTCTGAACTTCTCAATCTCAGAATCATCCTCAGCACGCTTCTGAGCCACCATTGCCTCCCTAAGTTTCTCATTTGCTTCCTCAGACACTTTTTGTGCTTCTTTAAGCTCATTTATTGCCTTTACTTTCTCTTTCTCGGCCTGAACCAGTTGTTCCTTTGCTTTCTTTAGATCTTCTTGCGCAACATTTAACTGTGTCTGCAACTCTGAACTCTTAAGAGCAACTCGCGGCGTTGGCTTCTGAAAAAGTTACAGAAATATTAAACCAGATTGAGATGTACTCTCAGAGCAAAAAATATGACCAGAGTGATTTTTTCCAGTATCATTTAGCACGCTTAACAAACGAGAATTGGAAAGTTCGAATGCTTCTTAAACAGATTTGGAAAAGAAAACGCAAGACCAAATGCAACAACCATTTGCCATAGAACTCAATCTCAAAGAAAGAGGAGACACAAGGTACTTACATCAGCTGGTGTGGTAGGTCTTGGCGATTTCCTGTCAGCAATCGGCTTTGAATTCAAAGATCGCGGCGATGATTTTTCAGCAGAAAGGCGTGACGCTTGCAACGGCGAAGGTGACTCAGATTCCGGTTTAGACACACCTCTACCGAGTTTACTAACTCTCGGAGTTGCAGGTGATGTTTTATTAGGAGTTGCCGGTGGCACTTTGCTGAGAGTTGCTTTGTTAGGAGTAGCCGGCAACACTGCTTTGTTCGGCGTAGCCGGTGATGCTGCTTTGTTCGACGATTCCGATAAACCAGATCTATCAAGTTCACAATGTAAATACCATATCAAACAATGCATGAAAATGTCACATCTTGATCAAATCCAAAACATGGATCTAAATACTAAATTCAGTTATATCTCTTCAAATTCTCAAACCAAATTCATCAAACAAGAACAAAAATGAACTTAGAGTTAAACCCATTCTCATAGTTCAAACTTTGAACACACACACACAAAAATAGAAACAAAAGCAAAAAAAAAAAACACAAAACTTAAGGAAACTCGTAATAAAATTCCTTAACCAACAGATCAAACCTAATAATCAAAATCTAAGAGGAACAACCTAAATAAAATAAAATAAAAAGAACAAAATGTGATGAATTGATGAAACCTAATTCAGATCTTAAAGCAATAAACAGAAGAAAACACATAAAGTTCCAAACTTAACAAACCTGGATTTTGAAGCCATGATGAAAGAAACCAAAAGAAACCAAATCAACAAAAGAGGTTTCTTAAACTGTCAGTTACAGAATCCTAAATGTTACAACTCCAACATTGTCAGAAACAAAAAACTGAACAAATTTGGGATTAAACTAATAACATCAAAAAACAAAAAATTATATATATTTTTTCTTATAGAAAATCATTTGAGAGAAAAAAAAAAGATGATAGAACAGAAGATTTAAACAAAAACCAAAATTAATTGAGAGTTGGTTTTCTTGTCTCTAGAAATGGCCACACACAAACCCACTTTCTCTCACTAAATCAATGTTTTTTGTTTCTCTCTCTTACCCATTTTCTTTACCAGTACTTCAACAACTAGTACTATAGTTTATCTAACCAGTGTAAATTTCAGGTGAGGATGTGAAATGACAAAACTAACCCTTAGTTTTTCTAAAATATGTGAAATCTAAAAGCATGTGTTAGTAGTATTACTTTTTCAGAGTAAAAGACTTTATCCTTCTTTTCAGGAAAAAAAGAAAAAGTAATTTGATACTATAACATTAGAAACTGTTTTTTTTAATGATGTTACTACAATTTTGTGTTTTTATAAATTAATGTTAATGTTTAATAATAAGATAAGATATTGTATCTAACATATAGAGTTGATAAAACGGGTCTGAAAATCTGTAAAAAATTCTGAATTAAAATACAAAAATTTAAGCTCATTTATGATTTGAGTTTTTAAATCTGATATATTAAAAATTTAAAATCTAATTGAACTAATCCGATCAGATTGCAGGTAATCTGTTTATTTTATTTAACTTTTTAGTATACATAAATTTTAATATACGTTCTTATTTTTTTAAATATATTATAATAATATTTAACCTTTCACACCAATTTAATTTATATAAATATAAGATCTATTTAATTTATTTTAAATATTAAATATCAATGATATAAATATTAATTATTTTCTACATTTTATAATTAATAAATTATTATGTACAAATTAACATTATTGAAGTTCAATTCTTAAATCAAATAGGATGTGTAGTTCTTTATACTTGAATTTTGATTATTTGATTGAAATAATATATTTATGTAACTGATTTATCTTAGATGTAATTGAAGTATATTATTTTTTATACTTAATATTCATATATATTAATTTTTTAATTTTAAAAATAAATATTAAATATAACTCAGACGGACTCGAATAATTAAAATCTATGAAAAAATGGATTTAAACAATTTAATTTAAACCCGTTTAAATTTTAGATTTTTAAATCCGATCCACCAAAGACTCGAGCATATCACGGACCGGCCTGAAGCGCCCGGATAACCCGAATTGCCAGCTCTACTGGCATGTGCATGTTCCGAGAATTTGAAAAGGAATAAAAAAAAAGTTGGTTATATGATTATGACATATGGTAGTAATAAATTAAAAGTGGATTTTGATTTAAAAATGAAAATGCGCGAAGATGAAGAGTCCATTTACTAAATAGTGGGTGGTTTAATAACTTTCTTTAATGCTTTGAGATGTTTCTTAATTCTATATTTGGACGCTAAGGTTTATCTGGTAGCTTATAATATAAGTTAATTAACTACTGATGAACTTATAGAGGGTGAGTTAAGAGATTGTTGATAAATTAAAATATTAAATCATAATATTTTGAAAAAGTAAGAGTTGAATTAATTGAATAATATGAAATGATATAAAAGTTGACCCAACCCAAAATAGGTTCATCTGACTAATATGGTTATTGATAGGTTTTTGATACTTTTGAATAAATAGTTCATTGATTCCAACAATGTGGTTGCTCTCACCAATGCGCTTATGTGTTAACAGGTTAATAAAATTATCTCTAATTATTGTATATTTTTTTAATGTTATTATAAACTATTTTTTTATATTTACTATTTATATTTATTATTTTTTTGTTAAAATAAAATTTTAAAAATAAAACAATTGATTAAGCATAAAGTGTAGCGCATACTTCATAAATATATAATGCATGTGTCATTGTCTCTGATATATTGCATAAATATTAACTATAGAAAGTGATGCCTTAATGTTAAATAGAGAGCATGTGCCATTATATGTTGGTGTCTTAAAAGTTTAGTTTTTTTATTTGTAAAGTGTTCATTTTAACATTTATTTTAAAACTATGGTTACTTAAGAATTTAAAAAATAATGGTTAATTAAAAAAAAATATTATATGATCTCAATATAAATTATTGTATATATGGTAATATTTAGATATGGACTAACTTATTTTGATTTAACTTTCTAGAATAAAAATTGTTTTCTATTTTTATTTTAGATTTCACTTTTTCTCCTAAATTACCAAGGTGGTTTTACGTGATTTCATTAGGGTCTAATTGGCTTGGTTCCGAGGTTCAAATGGGATATTTTTATTGATTTGATTTAGTTTAATTTTAAATATAATTGAATAAAATGAATTGATTTGTTTTAGTTTAATCTGCTTGATTGGTTTTCAATGTTTTTAAACATTATTATTATTTGTGTATTTTTTTATCATGTTTTTCAATTTAATTTTTGTTATTATTATTTTTAAATAATACATTTCATCTAATCTATTTTACTATTTAATTATCTATTTTTCAAACAACTTATAAACTATATTTAATTCATATAAAGTATTGGCATGATTTTAATTATATTGTGAAATAAATTTGCTATTAAATACAGAAGTTGAACTTTGCATTGACTATATAACTAACATAAGTTTATCATTAAATACAAAAGTTGTTATTTTATATTGATTATTACAATCAAAATAAGTTCACATCACATCAAATAAAAAAACAATAAAGTTCATTAGTTCATCGTCAAATAACAAAATCTAACCAAAATAAAATTGCAATTTTATTTCCTAAAATAAAATTGAAACAAACACATAGTTAAAATATAGAATATTTTTATTGGAATCATAAAAGATTAGTTTGACAATGTCATTAATAAACTAAACAAAAAAAATATTAAATTCTCATATTGTTCTATTTAAAACAAGAATTGCTAGTAGAATGGTGGTTGTAATGAGCAACTGTTGACTGAAGCTTCAGACACGATGGAGTAGAGACTGACTTGCAAGGTTAACGCTCAAGTCAGTATGTAAAAGAGAAGAGTGAATGAGATTTAAATTTGAAAATATATACTAGAGAATGACACATTTTTTATTCATATAGAAAAGGGTTATAACAAACTGTTATTCTCCTAGTGTGGATTGCAGGGAGCCATTGGATGTATTATAGCATTGCATCACCTATTCCCCTTTATAGGGTAGTTCCCCTATTCTGTGAGCAGTCCAAATGAATTGCGACTTCCTTTGGGTGATTGGCCGGTGGACCTTCCTTTCGGCCTAAAATAGTTGCCCCCAAGCCTTTGTCTTTGCATGACAGTGCAAGGGTTTATCATATTTGCCTCGTACACTGGTCATTTTATTGGCAGAAGTGGAAAACCAAGAAAATATGTTACTGTTTTTTGGAGTTATACGCATTTAATGCACCTCATGCTTCAAATTTCTTTTTGGAGGTATCCTCATAATGACCTTCGGGAAGTGAAACACTTAAGTGTTTTGCAAATGTGGTATGAAGTGTTGATAGGATTTATCTTCTTTAGTATGCCTTTATAATATTCTTGAGGGTTTAACTTTGCATTTATTTGAGACATTCTCTCTACTTGATTGTTACCTTTATTTTTTACAATGCTTCCCATTCCCAAACTTGAAGAAAATAGTGCTTATCATGAGTGAAAAATCAAAAGAAGATATTTGTGCTTCTTTGGTTGACCATGTTTCTTCTTCTACTATTTTTGTCTTTGCTTGAAAAGATGGTCATGATGGAGCTTTTCTAGATATGGGTCCACTTTCAGATTTAGGTGTCTTGTCCCCTAGTGAAAATGAAATGATCTATAGCAAGTGAGGTGAATGTTTCATCCTCTTTTACGAGTGTGTCTTCTCAATATTGGGTTCTGACTTCCCTTTAACAACTTTGAAATAGAAGTTATTAATCATTTAATGGTTGCTTCGTCGTAGTTACACTCTACGAGTTGTTATACCCTAATTTTTGCCCCTAAGATCCCTCATCATACTTTGTACATTTCACACATAGCATTGGTCTCATGGTTATAAGATCGAAGAGCTTTGGATTAAGGTTTTCTCACTTTTTGTAGGGGGGGCTCAATTGAAGAGGTAATGGCCATGATTAGGGTTTCTATCCCTATATTTAAGGTCATGTGATGAAGGCTCAAAGCTTGAATATATGTAATCTGAAGCTCTTATTCTTAAACATTATTTGGAATCTTTCAAACAAGAAAGGTTTTTTGTTGTTTACGACACAAGATATCTACAAGTATCATCCAAAAGGGGTACAAGCTTAAGCACTAAGAGCTATCTCCTAACACATATTATACCCACATGAATCAGGTTTCATTTGTAATGTCATGGTTATCAGGAGAGGATATTATCCATGGCTAGTCAGGATTCTAACGATTATTCTTCATCAGACAAGCATGCACTTCTTACTTAGATCTCAAGTCATGTGATCATGAGATTTAGGCGAGAGAGGCATTTAAATTTGGACGTGGAGTTCTCATGGATTAGGGTTTCGTCATTAGGGATTGGTTCTCTTTTTGTTATTGATAATACAAAAGGTTAAACTTTGTTTGTCCAATGGGATATTATTGGCTTTAAGAACTAAGACTCCGTCTAGTATTGACAACATCTTGGACGAAAAGAAACAATCATGGATTAATGTTCTGATTGGGTTTGTTTGTGGAACAGGTTACAGTGGATCAATGGTCCTCACATGGCAGGGATTCTAACCATTCAAGAATAGAGAAGTAATGATCATTCAAATTTGTTTACTCGGAATTCAAGAAGAAAACATTATTATTCCATTGACGTTTTCAAAATAAAGAAATGATAGATAAGGAGCTTGATATATACAAAGTAAATCAAATATATCACCATGTTTCAAGATCTAAATCATCATTCCTTA